TGAATGGACAAAGATGTGATATATACATACATACACACAGAAATATTAAATATTCATCAGTAAAACAGAATCAAGTCTTGCCATCTGCAAAAACATGGATGGATCTCCAGGGCATTATGTTAAGTGAAATAAGTCAGTCACACAGAGGCAAATAGCACATGATTCCACTTACATGTGGAATCTGAAATTTAAAAAAAATTTAAAATTTAAATAAAAGCTCATAAATACAGAGAACTTATTGGTGGCTGCCAGAGTTGGCTGGGGTGAGCAATAAAAAATGGGCAAACTTTTTTTTTAGTTTAAACAAACAAACAAACAGAAAACACCTGGAGATAAAAAGGTCAAGGGCTAGAATGCAAGAGCAATAAAGCATTTTCAGACAAGAAAAAGTGGGGTGGGCAGGAGGGAAGGATGACAGGAAGCAGACTGATTTTATCAATGTGTGGAGGAAAGGGCCACATGCTAACTTAACTAGCTCAGGGAAGGCCTGTGTGGCAGCCTTGCAAATTCAGAGACCTAAAGTAACCACAAAGGATAGTTTGAGATGAAAACTTTTTAACTAAAAGCAGGTTATGGCAAGTAGCCATGTCCTGGGCTGACATAGTCCCTGACAAAGGTCAGTCTTTACCTTAACCAAGGCTGTCTGTCTTTTTGCATCTACAATAACATCTTTGGAATGGCAAAGTAATCTTCCTTTTTCCGGACCCCTCACTGTTACTGAGTTACTGACTATTAACTATCCTGTATCCACCTATGTAACAGATGTACATGTCTATCATTTTACTTTTTATCCAATCCTAGAGGTTTCCCCACTTTGCTTTCTCCCACCTCCCTAATCTATCACCAATGGATTTCATGTAACCCACTTATGTCAGCTCTTTTGATCATAATGTATAAAATAAGGTGCTAAACTGACTTTCTCTGGAGCACTACCTCAGTCCATTGAGACTTTGCTTCCCAGCAGCTGTCAATAGTTTGGCTAAAATAACTCACAAAAATTCTCTATAGGTGTGAATGTTTCTTACGTTGACAAAGGGCAGATCTCCATTAAAGAAAAGATGTTCTAATGAACAAAATAAACTGACGAACTAAACAGGTCCAGAGGCATGGATACACAGAACAGACTGACAGATCTCAGAGGGAAGGGGAGTGGCGGGGACGGGAACAGTTAAGCCAAAAAACATCCATGCGTAACCCACGGACACAAGCAGTACTGAAGGGAAGGCCTGTGCTGGGGAAGTGGAGGGCATCTGTAATACTGGCAACAATAAATGAAGAAAGAAAAGGACTCAAAGGAAATTTTTAAAAAAGATGTTCTTCAGATAAAATGAAAACAGTCTCAATGACTTCTGATAATGAAGAGCTATAGAAATGATAAAGGTGTAAATGAATCTAAAAGAACATTGATTCTATAAAATAATTACACAGGGAGGGGCAAACACTAGGTTTACAGTGGTTGAGTACACAGAATAGCTGATTCTTGTATTATTAATTATTGTACTATTTGTTTGCACAATTGTAAACCTACTTCTGCTAACCCCTGCATAATTCAGGATGAGTAATGGAGTCAAAGGTCCTTCAGTAAAGTAGGGAATGTCAACAGCGCTATTTCACTAGAGGCAAGTGGAAACCTCCAGGGTAGGCAAAGAAATGTGCAGTGAATGAGCTAATGGGAGGAACAAAATTCGTTCCTTCATAGTTTAACAAAATTACTGGAAAAGCAAAGAAGCAAATATAAACAGACAAAACAGAATGCATGAGACAAAAAGAAAAAGCAATCATTGTGTACATTATACATGCTTCTCATTTCATAAATGACTGTTTCTCTTGAGTCACACAACTAGCTGAAAAAGAACTAGGGCTAGACCCTGTGTCCCAAATCAGTGTTGCTGACATTAACAATATTTTCTTAGTTGCTAATCAAATGCAATTAAAAAACAATTAGAAACCACTCTGGCTGGTTTGGCTCAACAGTTAGCGCTTCGGCCTGCGGACCAAAGAGTTGTGGGTTCAATTCTGGCCAAGGGCACATACCTCAGTTGCGATTCATCCCCAGCCCTGAGGACATTTTTCCATTTTTTTTTTCAGGTAGAGTGGGAGAGAGAGAGAAACATCCACGTGAAAGGGACACATGGAGTGGCTGCCACCCGCACGACCAACCAGGGCCGGGGACAAATGCAACCGAGGTATGGGCCCTTAGCGGGAACCGAACCTGGGTCTCTCTGGACCACAGGCCGACGCTCTAACCGCTGAGCCAAACTGGCCAGGGCTCAGGTGAGGATTATTAAAAAACAAACAAAAAACAACATGAAAATATAATCCTTTGCCCTGACTGGTTATAGCGTCGGCCTGCAGTCCAGAGAGATTCAGGTTCGGTTCCTGCTAAGGGTACATACCTCGGTTGCATTTCTCCCCGGCCCTGGTTGGTGGTACGGGTGGCAGCCACTCCATGTGTCCCTTTCACGTCGATGTTTCTCTCTCTCTCTCTCTCTTCCTCTCACTCCCTCCCACTCTATCTGTACAAAAAATGGAAAAATGTCTTCAGGTGAGGATAAAAAAATATATATACAATCCTTTGCCTATTTTTTCAGTTGAATTATTTGTCTCTTCATTATTGAGTTATAAGAGTTTTACATATAGCCCTGGCTGAGTGGCTCAGTCAGATGGAGTGTCATCCCAGACACCAAAAAGTCACAAGTTGAATCCCTGGTCAGGTGTGTATGGGAGGCAGCTGATCAAAGTTCTGAGTTCTACATGTATATTGGACATAGTTCCTTATATGATTTACAAGTATTAAATGCAATTTTAATTAAAATGTGTGTGTGTGTTAAATCTTTAAAGTAAGCAAAAATACAAAATAACAGAATGACTCTGATCTGTTGTAATTATTGGTGGTGGTGGTGGCAACATAAGCATATGTATAGGAAAAAAGGAGAGAAAAGGAAATTATTCTCAGTTGTTTACTATATGTATGAAGGGATGAGATATGATTTTTCACCTTCTTTGGGCTTTCCCATTTTTCCTACATTAAATGCATATTTAATTTAATTACCACCACTCTTCCCTCTAAATCTCTAGCATACACCCACCAAAAATAAGCAAAACAAAATAGAACTGTTTGAAAAAAGTTTTACTTATATGCTACCATGTAAAATATTAGTGTCACAATCTCAGGAAAACTATGAGAATGGTAAATCGAACAAATTTCACTTAAAAATATCTCCAAAAGCCGATCGTATCTAAGAAGGACTGCTCTGTCAAAGCTGAGTAAACCATTAGGACCTCCAGTGAAAGTGAAAGCAGTAACAGACTGAGGCAGGACAGCAGTGCAACTTGGATCTCAGAGACATGGAACAACTCGGATCTCAGCGATCCCAGACACGTGGAACAACTCAGATCTCAGAGACATGGAAAATCTCGGATCTCAGCGATCCCAGACACATGGAACAACTCAGATCTCAGAGATATGGAACATCTCGTATCTCAGCGATCCCAGACACGTGGAACAACTCGGATCTCAGCGATCCCAGACACATGGAACATCTCGGATCTCAGCGATCCCAGACACGTGGAACAACTCGGATCTCAGCGATCCCAGGGACATGGAACATCTCGGATCTCAGCGATCCCAGACACGTGGAACAACTCAGATCTCAGCGATCCCAGACACATGAAACATCTCGGATCTCAGCGATCCCAGACACATGGAACAACTCGGATCTCAGCGATCCCAGACACGTGGAACAACTCAGATCTCAGCGATCCCAGACACATGGAACATCTCGGATCTCAGCGATCCCAGACACGTGGAACAACTCGGATCTCAGCGATCCCAGAGACATGGAACATCTCGGATCTCAGCGATCCCAGACACGTGGAACAACTCGGATCTCAGCGATCCCAGAGACATGGAACATCTCGGATCTCAGCGATCCCAGACACGTGGAACAACTCAGATCTCAGCGATCCCAGACACATGGAACAACTCGGATCTCAGCGATCCCAGACACATGGAACAACTCGGATCTCAGCGATCCCAGACATGTGGAACAACTCGGATCTCAGAGACATGGAACATCTCGGATCTCAGCGATCCCAGACACATGGAACAACTCGGATCTCAGCGATCCCAGACACATGGAACAACTCGGATCTCAGCGATCCCAGACACATGGAACAACTCGGATCTCAGCGATCCCAGACACATGGAACATCTCGGATCTCAGCGATCCCAGACACATGGAACATCTCGGATCTCAGAGATCCCAGACACATGGAACAACTCGGATCTCAGCGATCCCAGAGACATGGAACAACATCTGGAAAAAAAGAACTTAAAAAAATCAGAGAAGAAAAAATATATTTTGGTTACTGCTTGCACGTCACCTTGGAGCCCACAGCAACACTGAGCTATGGCCCCCTGAAGTCAACTTCTCTCTGCAAAATTTAATGGATATTATTAAAGATGTAAAATATTATGATAAATTCTGTCTCTGCTAATTTTCTTTCTGTATAATTCTCAAGAAAACTTTTCCATAGTAAACTAAACATCTCTCTCTCTCTCTCTCTCTCTCTCTCTATATATATATATATATATTTTTATCCTCACCCAAGGACATTTTTGCATTTAACTTCGGAAAGAGCGGGAGGAAGAGAGAGAGAAACACATTGACTGGTTGCCACCCACATAACCCCAACCAGGGCCGGGAACAAACTGCATCCAAGGTACGTGCCCTTAGTGGGAACTGAACCCGGGTCTCTCTGGTCCATGGGCCGACGCTCTAACTGCTGAGCCAAATTGGCCAGGTCTTCACTATATTTTAAGACATCATTATATTATGGTTTCCCGCCTACTAATTATGTTAGCACCTACATTTATAACTTGAAGCAAGTTCACACATTTTCCCTCCCTCTACACTGTTTTCCCCAAAATACCTTTAGACAGATGCCACTCTTTCATTTTCCTTATGTTCAAAATCTACTAGGCACCCACTACCCACCTGTCTGAGATAGAGAAAAAAACTTGAATACTGTCCAGCTTCAGGAAGGTAAGAAAGAAACACGGTGATGCAGATTAGTAACACGGTAGAATCTTTTCCAACTTTCTTCAGTGACTAGGAAAAAGCAGAAAGAGATAGAGGAAATAAACATCATAAGGAAAACAGTCAAAAATATTCTAGTAACTGTATGGTGTCAGATGGGTAGAAGATTTACCAGGATGATCACTTTGGAATTTCTATAATGTCTAATCACTGGGGCATACACCTGAAACTAATATAATACTGTATGACAACTGTAATAGAAAAATATAAAAGCAAATAGGAACTAATGTCTGATATTCTGCAATATTGGCTTCATTGTTTTCATCTATTAAGGTGGATAACAGTTGAATGGATTATAAAAGGAAGTGACATTGACATTAGATCTATCACTGTCTCTCTATGGAGGCTACAGGTCCTAATTTCCAAGGTATGTGTTTCAAACATTACAGCGTAAGCGTGCAGACACATTTGCTCATCTTTTATTAACAGTACTGGTTCACATCCTGAAGCAGACCCCGAATATCCTATAAACACACCCTGAAAATACACTGCTCTAGAATCTTTTAAGAAAATGTCTCTCTTTTTCATTCAAACATAACTTCTTTAAAGCTATAAACTGGATAGACATTTCATTACACATAAATTCACTCTACTCTTTAAAATGCTAGTACTCAATTTGCTTGTAAAGTGGTTGAAAAATTAGGTGGGAGGCGGGACCGGATCCTGGGTGTACACCTGTTTCCTTCTTTCTCCATGTGACACAGATGGATGAGGCACACACAGAACGATCAAAGTCCCCAGGTCATGCCCCAAGGGGGCTGTTTTGAAAAGAATTTCTCATGAATTCGTTTATTTATTACCTGTATTTTTCCTAAAAGGCAAACTTGGGGGATAAAAAGCAAGTATCAAATCTCTGGTTAATTTTTTTCCTGCACATATTTTCTTCAAGAACAAATTTAAATCAAGAGGGGGAGCTAAGATTCTTCTTCCAAGTACTTTCTGAGTTGTTAATGGGGTCCCCTATGCCAATATATATAACAGGGAGTCCACTCAATCTGTAAAGTACAAGTCACAGATTTAAAGCCTCTGGTCTAAATGGATGTATTTCAACAAGTTAGAAGATAGCTCCTTAGTCAGACTAAATTTTTATCCTTTTTTAATTTCAGTGAATGAAAACCACCTTGCAAAAAGAAAAGAAAAAACAAATTTCATTTTCTTAGGAATTAACTAGACATTGTTTTCTCCTTCCGTTGTAGTAACTATATGCATGACTTAAGAAATATCAACTTTTAATATATTCCTTGGTACACAGTTTGTCCTTTCTTTGAAATTAATGTTTTTCTATTTTTACTGGAGAAAAGTGGATTAACAACTGCTGGGTTACTTGAGCAGGCAGAAATGTTCTTTTATTTGCATGGTTTAGAAAGATTCTTAGAAAAGTAAATGTTTTCATATTTTTATTTACCGCAAAAGGGTCTGCTTGTTTCCAAGAAATGTGAGCTCCCCAGGAGAGTGGTCTCATTTTCTCTGGGGAAGATTCTGGAACAGCCAGTAAGATGAAGCAGATGTCTAGAAGAGCCACCACCGTGGCCACCAGCACAACAAGGCTGTCTCCATAGCTGGCTGAGAGGTATGCTCCAATGGCCGGGCTGCTGACCAGACTGGCTGCGAAGGTGGCTGAGACCTGGGGGAAAAGCACACTCTCACTGTGGTCCCGTCTGCAGAAGCTGCCTATCTACGTTCCCACAAGTGCACACCTACAACTATCCTTCCCTTGGTTTAAAACAAGACAAAAGAATGTGCTGCAAACAAATTTTAAGAAAGAGAATTAAAGTCATTTTGTTTTAAGAATTTTTTCACCCACTATTAACTAATTGAAGATATCCTGGAGAGCTACAAGAGTAAAAAAATAATAATGTTATTGAAAATAAAAATTTTGGCCTTGGCTAGTGTGGCTCAGTGGGTTAGAGGTCATCATGTACATTGAAAGGTTGCAAGTTGGACCCCCAGTTGGGGTGCATGTAGGAGGTAACCAACAGATGTTTCTTTCCCCTCACCGCTCAAATCAATGAAAAAATATCCTCAGGTGAGAATTGGAAAAAAAAATTGTAAAAACCTTCCCCATAAATAAAACATACATGCTTTAGTCTTCTTTTATTGCGAAATAGGGATGTGGGAAGAAAAGTATAAAATAATGCCTATAGGGTTTATGATAAAAATCTACAATTTACTCAGGGACTGTGCTGGATTTTATCTCTCAAAAATATACACTGTTTGAGCTTCTGGTCAAAATGGCAGAGTAGGAAAACACTGTCCTTACCTCCTCCCACAACCACATAAAAATTACTCTGAATCACAAAGTAATCATCATTGAGGACCTACTAAAGACTGGCTAAACAGAAGTCCAATACCTAAGGACATAAAGAAAAGGTCACATCAAGACTGGTACCAGGGGCTGACATACAAAATGGACTGGCCCAGGCCACTATGGTAAGTTAAAATTAGGAGTGCTATCTCAGCTGTGGAGGTTCTCTCAGAGGAGCAAGGGGTCACAGCCCCAAACCAGGCCCCCAGATCATGGTACCAGAGCTGGGAAAAGAAGTCCCCATAACTTCTGTGAAACCTGCAGGGATTGTGGCTGAGGGAGGTAAAGGGCTACTGGAGGCCCGAGTCCTGCTTCGAAGGCCTGTGCATGAACTTACTCATGGTGGACTCACTCTCTGAGCTCCAGCGCTAGGGCAGCAGCCTGAAAGGTTCTGGAAACATATGGGGAGGAACCACATTGTCAGGCATCAGGGTGAAGGCTTGAGAGGCAACTTCCTCATAGGCAAAAGTGCTGGCAGAGAGATATGTTCCTTTGCTGAGACCACCCCCTTCAGATGCAGAAGAGCACCATATCTGAGTCTCCATCACCCTGGCTAACACTGCTCACCCAGCCCTGGTGATTCCCTGAGACCCAGCCCCACACAACCTGAGGGACCACCCAAGCCACTTCCAGTGTTGTTTCCATATAAATGGCCTAACTAGGCCCATGCTGGAGACTTTCCTAAATTCTCTCGAAAGATCACAAACCCCAAACATGCAGCATCTGGCCTTAGTGTGTCCCCCAGGCCTCCTGCTAAGTGACCCCAGGCACGACACTAGTGGCTGTATCCTCAGTTCACAGCTTGGCCTCTCCTGAGCATGTCTGAGCCTAGTACAAGTGGCAACTACCTGGAAAACACTTTGTAGCTGGTGCCAGGTAGGACGCAGGAGTTCTGCACCACCCAGGAGCCCCAGAGTCTGCTCATCCAGTGGACAGCTTCAGACCACACCAAAGCACAATCCAAAACCTCCACGAGTGACACACTCAAGGGGCAAACTCAGCAGGCACCAGAGCCCGACTGAAGTGAATCCTGCTGGTTGGGTGGGCCCCTCCCCAGCACATCCTTTATGATGGTTGTGGCCAGTCCTTACAGTCAATCAGCATGCATTAAATCCCTCCTACTGACATGCCAAAAGCAATCAAGGATCAACCACAACAGGAGAGTGCACACAGCCCACACTGGGGTAGGGCAGCGCCTGGAGCACCCTGCTCAGGTGGCTGGGGAGGCTGCACCACTGTGCTCTACAGGACACCTACTACATAAGTCACTCTGACATGCCCAGGAGATGTAGCAGCTCTTCACGATAACACAGAAACAAAGAGGGAGGCAGCCAAAATGAGGAGACAAACAAACAGGCTTCAAATAAAAGAACAGAACAAAACTCCGAAAAAAGATCAGCATTTGGTCTCAGTGAGCCCTATACTTCTTATTAAGTGGCCCCAGCCCTGGCACTAGAAGCAGCCATCTGCAGACCGCTCTGTAGCTTATGCCTGGTGGCCCCGGGTAGAACACAGGCAGTGGCTGACCTTGCCTCAGAGCCAACATATCCAGTGGACAGCTTCAGACCACATCAGAGCACCACCACACAACCACCTGCACAAGTGACACACTCAAGGAATGGACTCAGTGGGTACCAGAGCCCTGATAAAGTAAGTCTTGCTCTGGTGAGCCTGTACAGCTGATCATACAAGGTAATCAGAGGTCGGTGGTCAGTGGGCACAGCCAGTCCTTGCAGCTGATCAGCCTGAGTAAATCCCTCCCATTGATGTGCCAACAGCAATCAAGGCTCAATTACAACAGAAGGATGTAAAGTCCACACAAGAGGTGTACCTTACAGGTCCAGTTGGGAGACCAGGGAGGATGTGCCACTGGACCCTACAGGACACCTACTACAATAGGCCACCCTAGGAACTAGCAACTCTACTTAATACATAGCCAAAACGAGGAGACAAAGAAACATGCTACAAATGAAAGAACAGAACAAAACTCCAGGAAAATAACTAAACAAAATGGAGATAAGCAATCTAACAGATGCAGAGTTCAAAACACTGCTTATAAGGATGCTCAATGAACTTAGTGAGAACTTCAGTAAACTTAGTGAGGCCTCAAGAGCATAAAAAAGGAGCAGTCAGAAATGAAAGAGGCATTAACTGAAATAAAGAATAATTTACAGCCCTGGCCAATTTGGCTCAGCGGTTGCAGCGTCGGCCTGCGGGCCAGGGAAACCTGGGTTCAATTCCCACTAAGGGCGCGTGCCTCGTTTACAGTTTGTCCCTGGCCCTGGTTGGTCATGTGGGTGGCGGCCACTCAATGTGTCCCTTTCACGTCAATGTCTCTCTCTCTCTCTCTCTCTCTCTCCCTCCCTTTCTCTCCCTCCCACTCTATCTGAACAAAAAGTGGAAAACTGTCCTCGGGTGAGGGAAAAAAAAAACCAATAATTTACGGAGATTCAATAGTAGAGTAGGTAAAGTCAAGAAGCAAACTATTGATTTGGAATATAAGGAAGCAAAAAACACCCAATCAGAACAGTGAAAAGAAAAAAGAATCCAGCCCTGGCCGGTTTGGCTCAGCAGTCGGAGCGCTGGCCTGCGGACCAGAGAGTCCTGGGTTTGGTTCCCGCTAGGGGCACATACCACCCCAAGAAAAGAAAAAAGAATCCAAAAAAATGAGGATAGTGAAAGGAGCCTCTGCGACAACTTCAAGTGTATCAACATTCGCATCTTGGGGGTGCCAGAAGGAGAAGAGAGAGAGAACAAGAAATTAAAAACCTATTTGAAACAATAAGGACAGAAAACTTCCCTAACTTGGTGAAGGAAACAGACATACAAGTCCAGGAAGCACAGAGAGTCCCAAACAAGATGAACCCCAAAAGGCCCACACCAAGACACATCATCATCAAAATGCAAAAGGTTAAAGACAAAGAGAGAATCTTAAAAGCAGCAAGAGAAAAGCAGTTAGTTAACTACTAGGGAGCTCCCATAAGATTGTTAGCTGATTTCTCAAAAGAAACTCTGCAGGCCAGAGGGGAGTGGCAAGAGATATTCAGAGTGATGAACAGCAAGAACCTACAACCAACTGGGATGTATTCCAGGGATGTAAGGTGGGTATAATATTTGCAATTCAATAAATGTGAAACATAGCATTAAAAAAATGAAGGATAAAATGACACGGTCATACCAATAGATGCAGAAAAAGCATTTCATAAAATCCAGCACCTGTTGATGATAAAAACTCTCAGAAAAGGATCATACCTCAACATAATCAAGGCCATATATGAAAAACTGACAGCCAACATCATACTCAACAGGCAAAAACTAAGTGTTTCCTATGAGATCAGGGCCAAGATAGCAATGTCTTCTTTCACCATCTCATTTAATATTGTACTGAAAGTCTTAGCCATAGAGATCAGACAAAAATAAAAAATAAAAAGTATTCAAATTGGAAAGGAGGAAGTAAAACGATCATTATTTGCAAGTGGCATATTATTGTACATAGAAAACCCTAAAGACTCCACCAATACTAGATCTAATAAACGAATTTAGCACAATTGCAAGATACAAAGTCAACATCGAGAAATCAATGGCATTTTAATACACCAATAATGAACTATAAGAAAGAGAAACTAAGAAGACATTTAACCAAGGAGACAAAAGACCTGCACTCAGAGAACTATATGACATTGAAGAAAGATTAAGGAAGACATGAATAAATGAAAGCACATACCATGTTCGTGAACTGGAAGAATTAACATCATTAAAAAGTCCATACTACCTACAACAATCTATATAGATTCAACGCAATTCCTATTAAAATACCAATGGCATATTTCACCACACTAGAAATAATATTCCAAAATTTATATGGAAACACAAAAGACCCCAAATAGTGACAGCAATCTTGAGAAAGATGAACAAAGTTAGAGGTATTATAATATCAGGTAAGAAACTATACCACAAAACCACTGTAATCAAAACAGTCTGGTACTGGCACAAGTACAGGCATATAGACCAATGAAACAGAGCTGAGATCATGGTCAATTAATATCTGAAAAGGAGGCAAGAGCATACATACAATGGAGTAAAGACAAAGACCGTTTGTTTCTTCAATAAATGGTACTGGGAAAATTGGACAGGCATATGCAAAAAAATGAAACTAGATCACCAACTTACACCATACACTAGACTGAACTCAAAACAGATGAAAGACTTAAATGTAAGTCACAAAACCATAAAAACCCTGGAAGAGAACATAGGCAGTAAAATCTCAGACATCTCTCACCACAATATCTTTGCCAATATGTGTCTAAGGAAAAAGGAAA